CAATCCCAGGGCAGGAGAGCTCTAAGGTGATCTTCGCTCGAGTGACGACGTCGAAGGCGTCACCAGGAAGATCGCGGTTGATTTCAGCATCGCGCTCGGCGTGGTTGAAGACATTAGATGAAACAAGAACAGAGCCATCGCAGCCTCCAACCAAACAATCGCTGAAGAAGAGTCGCATAGATGCAGCGGCGGTGACAGGGCTAGTAGCGTGCTTGCGAGCAACAGTGTCATGAACGATCTGTGCGAAATCGGGGCAAGTTTTCTGGTAATAATCGAGAGAAAGCTGAGATTGAACTGAGAATGGAAGAGATAGGAAAAGTAGAAGAAGAGCGGCAGGGTGAAAGAAGGCCATGGCGGTAGAGGAAGGAGGCGGGGGAAAACCTGCTTCCTCTGGATGTGGAAAAGTGGAAGGGATGTGTGTAGTGTGGTGAGGAGGAAGAAGGAAGCAACTGCGGTGTGAGGGAAATGGAGGGATGAATGGGTTTAAGAAGGAGATGGAGTAGTGGATGGGAGAGATTTTGGGAAATTTGTTAGGGAGGAGGCTGTAATGACCTCTAAATTCTTGCCATTCATGACTGAATCAAACCCATTGCAAGGTATTGTTGTGAAGTGCAGGTGGGTGGATGGGAGAGGTTCTAGTAGGACAATAGTTTGGTCGAGATTTTTTTTTTTTTTTTTTTTACTCAACTCAATCTTGAGTTGGGGTTGGGTTCAATTTTTTTAAAAAGTTTATTTATTCATTATTCACAAACAAATACAAATTAATTTATAAATCATTAAAAAAACGAATTCATCCATTATAATATTTATAATATCTTAATATAATTTAATATTACCATAAAATTAAAGAGTAAATGGTGATAGAATGATTTAGTAGGAAATATTGAAGCATTTTTTTATATTTAAAAGAAAAAATAAAACAATTTACTAAATTAATAAAGTAATACAAAAAAAATATATTAATAAATCTAGTAAGTTAGAATCATGAATTTTCCATGTATTTTATAAATTTTGTTTGGTTTGTTTCAATTCGTCAAGAATCAAAATAACTCACAGCCCATTCTGACAGGCATAGCGTATGTGTTAGCCGTGTGTCAACTTTATATCATTTGTAATTAGATAGCATATATTTTTTCTATTGAATTAAATGTAAGAACCCGAAGAATTCTATTACATCCCTTTTAATTTAAAATGTTCATATTTTATAAAAATAAAATATGTTCTATATAAGACATAAAGTAATTTTACTTAGGACATAATAGTTCCATTTAGGAACTTCTAAGGGAGGTACGTGAACCATTAGGTTTTACAAACAAACAAACAAAAAAAAAAAAAAAAAAATTATTATTTTCGCTTTCACTACCGAATGTTGACTTTATTTGTAACAACTCAAGCACGTCATCAATACTTCCTAGTGTCATTTGTAACATTAAGACCACCACTAGCAACTATGGCACACAATTTGGTGTTGATTTTGATATCTTGAATTTATACCATTTGTAACAACTAAAGATCACCACTAACAACTATGACACACGATCCGATGGTATCTTGAATTTATACCATTTGTAACAACTAAAGATCACCACTAACAACTATGACACACGATCCGGTGCACACTACTAGCCTTACCATCACAATTTTTAAAGTGAGAGAACGCCACCTTTTCAGAAAAAGTGTTCATAAAATATTGTGAAAAAAAATAAAGGAACAGAAAAGAAGAAAATTCAGTTCATTAAAACATGAAATAACCACAATTACAATCTTCCTCTTCCTCTCACCCCCTTTCATCAATAAACTCTCTACTTCAAATCTTTTCTTTTCCAAATCAATCTTACAAAAAGGGCAAAAAAGAAATTTCCCTTTTGAGAAGACTGATTTATTTATGAAAAGCGAAAATGGGCTAATGGTTGATTGAATTGAACGCATCGCATCTTGTCCTCACGTCTCCTTTCCCGCCAGTTTTCACCTCGCGAACACTCATCTTCTCCATCGCCTCTCCAAAATCCTTGAAGAATAATGCCTGGTTTCCTGCATACATCTCCACGAATTTCCTTGTTCTCGGATCCTTCACCAGCGCGTGATCCGACGCCAACAGTCCCATTCCTCTCAGCAGATTCTGGTAGTATACGTTGTCGAACTTCCCTGGCGTTACAGGGTCGCTGTACGCCGAACTTGCTGGATTCTTCTCGTAATCGGCGCAGGACTTCTTCAACGCTTCCGCGTATTTTGAATTAATCTCAGGATCTGTTGGTGTGTTTTTGTTGAAATTGAAGAGCCGGTCGCTGAATTCCTTGCAATTTGAGAATCCGATCGTGCGTCCGCCATATAGCGCTACCATTTATTGAATCGTGAATCCTTTCGCTGTGTATAGCTTGATCAACTCGTCGATTGATTGATTCGGTTTCGGAATGTTTCCTTCCACGTCCGAAACTTTGGAGACGAGGCTATCTTTTCGCCCTAATTCAACTTTGTACGATGGTCCGCCCGCGGCCGCGATGAGATCTCTAGTCGCCTGCGCTAACACGTCGGAGCAAGAGACGATCCCAGGGCAGGAGAGCTCTAAGGTAATTTTCGCTCGAGTGACGACGTCAAAGGCATCACCAGGAAGATCGCGGTTGACTTCAGCATCGCGCTCGGCGTGGTTGAAGACATTGGATGAAACAAGAACAGAGCCATCGCAGCCTCCAACCAAACAATCGCTGAACAAAAGGCGCATAGATGCAGCGGCGGTGACAGGGCTAGTAGCGTGCTTGCGAGCAACAGTGTCATGAACGATCTGTGCAAAATCGGGGCAAGTTTTCTGGTAATAATCGAGAGAAAGCTGAGATTGAACTGAGAATGGAAGAGATAGAAAAAGTAGAAGAAGAAGAGCGGGAGAGTGAAAGAAGGCCATGGCGGTAGAGGAAGGAGGTGGGGGAAAACCTGCTTCCTCTGGATGTGGAAAAGTGGAAGGGGCGTGTGTAGTGTAGTGTAGTGTAGTGTGGTGAGGAGGAAGAAGGAAGCAATTGCGGTGTGAGGAAAATGGAGGGGTTAAAAAGAAGATGGAGCAGTGGATGGGAGAGATTTTAGGAGATTGGTTAGAGATGGAGCATTGTTAAAGACTTAATGCTATTTTTGGTAATGTAAAATGCTCAACTTACCCATGAGAAATTTTCAGTAATTTTTGACTCCGTGTACATAGTCCGGGTTTCATTAAATTGAGAGATCTTTTTTTATCCAATTTAAAAGTTGGGTTTGGTTGGATTACCGATCCAACTCTACCCCCGACATTTTCACACCCCTACCCAAAATTTTAACAACCCAATCCAATCCTATATTTTCTTTTCGAGTTGGATTGGGTTTGGGTTGAGTTGTCTAGTTATTAATTTTTTAAAATTCTTTATTTATCTACCATTTATAATTATTCGATAAAATCTTACTTATTAAAAGTTTACTAACAAATCCCAATCAATCTATAATCTTTAGAAAAAATAAAATTATCGAGAAAAAAAAAATGGTAACATCCTAACCTAATTCGTATTATCATAAAACTAAAGTAACTAAATGGTCAAAAAGAAAAACTAAAGCAGCCAAATATTCGTATTTATTTAATTTATATATCATAAAATTAAAAAGAAAATAAGAATAATTAGTTTAAGTAACTATGCCTAACAAAAATAAATATTTTACTCGCCTTTAAATATATTTAAAATATTTTAACTTACATTTAATTAGGTGGGAGATCTAAAATTATTAGGAAAAAAAAAAAAACATCAAAATGTCTTTTTTTCTTCTCAATTTTCCAACGAATCCCTAACTGAAAAAAGAGGTATTAAGCTTCTTACCATACGATTTTGCGCTATCGTCTTAGCACGCCTTCGAGAATGGCGACTCCAACGAGATCCGAATCCCTTTCGCTTCTTCGCTCTCTGCTCCGTACAGCCCGTCACTTCTGTGATTACAACATCAGAGAGTACGCCAAACGACGCGCCGTTGACGGCTTCCGCCATAACCGGAACCTTTCCGATCCTTCGTCCATCGTCGTCGCCTACGCCGACGGCAAGGCTCAGCTTGAAGTTGCCAAAAGACAGTCCACCGTCTACTCCCTCTTCTCGCCCAAGGTCAAGAGCATCATGGAGGCTCATCACACGAACTGAGTACGGAAGCTCTTGTGCCCTTCTCTTTCGTATGATTCTAATTCTATCAACGCTGCTTCATGAGTTAGGGTTTATTTCCGATTCCCGGACTTTACTTGATTGACTATCATACTTTTTCTAATAAGAATTCAATAAATTGTTTGTTCTCCGAGCTTTTCCTGTGGATTTTGCTTGTATGTTCGATCAATCAATCCTGATTGTGGGATGTGATTTGAAATATTTGGTGATGATGAGCATGATTGGATACCTTTTTTGGTTTGATTTGTTCGGATTTGATCTGCGCGTGAAAGCGTGGAGCTTCTTTATTCACCTTCCTGTCCATTACCTTGTCGGACCAATTCTGAAATAATTTACATTTACATACAAAAATAATTTAATACTCCTTAGATCTGCGCCTGAAACCCATGCTTGTGATTCATTCAGTTCGGAATTGTTTCAAAATCTTGATTAGTTCATCAACTCTGATGATCAGTTTTGTTTTCTTTCGTTTGTTTGCATTTTTCCCGACATCAATTCAATTTGTTTGCTTTAGTTTAAATTATACAAATAGTGTTGTTTCTTTTGGAGTAAGTTTTGAATGAGTTGAACTTTGAAGAAATTGTATAAAATATACAATCTTGAATGTCTTTTCATGAAAAGATTGTTTCCCTACGACATCATTCATATAAGAAATTCAAAAGATTTGGTAAATTTTGAAAACTATATTTTTAAATCGAAACGAATAATCGTAACAATCTTAATCGTCTATATAGTTGAGATTAAGTAGCTTTCCATGGTAGAACAATTCCAAAAATTCAAAATATTTTCATGTCGGAGCATACAAACGAAACTTAGGCAACTGTTTTGAGCTAAACATGTGGATTTTAGTTTGGATGAAGAAACAGAGGAAGAGACTGAGAAGCCATCTACCATCATATTTGTCGAAGGCGACGAGACGGGACCTAGCAAATTCGCAGTCTACTTTCTAAGCAAGCGATGAGCACGTCGGTTAGCATTATCGACACGGACGGTTATGCCATCAGTATCATCATACAGATGATCCAAAGCTTTATTTTGCCTAGAATAAGAGGCAGATTCCAACCAAGTTTAAGAATAAAAAAATTGGCGTTTAAAGTAAAAACTTGTTCTATGAAGCTATAAACAACGCACCTGTTTAGTTCATGTCCCATATCAACAGCCATTTCTTTAAGCTCTCCCAATATATTGCTCAAATCTGAAAGAGCGTCCTCTTGTTTCACCTTTTCCACCTAGTTTACAACATCTCTTCTTAAATCTTTGAAATTATGGTTCTAATTAAGTGTTAATTTCTGTATTAGAACAGAAATTATAGATTACAAACCTCTACTTTCTCAAGTGGGTTGGTTGGCTCAGGCTGTGGGGCTCGTGAGGGCCGTGGGTTGGGTGCCCGGCTTAGTCCCAACTGCTCCCTTTGCTCCAAATGGTTGCTCTTGCTTATGGCAGCCTGATCGCCTGCAACCAAATCGAATCAAATTTTTTTGTTAGAAAGCTTCATTTTGAGTGCTAAAATGAACATATTACCTTGAAAGATAACAGGGCCTGTTATCTGACGAACATTCCTTGGCTTCCATGTCTTAGAGAATATTCCTCCTAAGCCACCTAGAAGTTTCTCCCCCTGATCATCAACATTATCTACTTTTCTTTAAAACGTTTTCAAAATCTAAGCCAAGTTTCGAAATTAAAAGAAAAGTAAAGATCAAATGGTTATCAAATCAAGCAGCACATAAGAAGAGTAGGCATGTGTTGAAGAAATTGATTGAGCATACCCGACTAAGATCATTGTTAATATCAGTAGCAACCACATGGGTGCGAGTGATCTGCTCACCCTGGTGATGCAGGGCAACCATGGTTCTGGTTGCATCTTTTTTCATGTCCTCAGCAATCTTCAGGCAATTGTTCACTGATTTTGTTGTCTCCTCAGCTTTGTATGCAGCATAATTCTCCAACTCCTCCACTGTCTGATTCTCAAGCCCACCTGAGTCCGGGAAATCATTTTTGTATCTGTTTCTTGATGACCATAGATATGTACTTGAAGATGAAGAATATGAAGAAGAAGAATCGGTCTCTTCCTCGAGATGATCGTCGAAAGGATTCGAGCTGGGATTTGGTGCATTATGAGATGAAGGGATTCCTGAGGAGTTGTGTTTGTGGTTCTTGTCTAAATTATCATTGGAGTCAATTGGGTTTGGACTGGAAGGAGCTGAGGCATGCCTTAAAACACTTATGGGGGATTTCCTAAAATGTGACATTTCTAGAAAGGCAAATGCAGAATTCAGGTGATGGTTGTGTGTCAAGGATGATGATTCTAAAGCAGCTTAGAATGATCACAATTCCTCCCTGGAACCCATAGAAGAACCATGTGAGATCATCACCGAGTTGAAGCAAAAACAGGCTGAAGATTCGAAAAAATAATAATGGTTTATACAAATCCGCATGGGACATGTTTGAAAGTGATTTAGTATCATTTGTACCTACAAAAGTGATTTTAGTAGTTCCAAAATCACTACTAAACATGTTTTAAGACAATGATTGAGACGCACTTTTTTGGAGCCATTGAATGCCAAAATAGCAAGAAACAAGTGATTGAACCCAAGAAACGGTGAAAAAAACTCACAACCAGCCATGGTACTGAAATCAAGTCAGTCAAGCAAATACAACTGTAATGGCACAAGTCCACCACTAGCAGATATTATCCGCTTTAGCTTGTTACATATTATCGTCAGTCTCATGATTTTAAAACGCGTTTACTAGAGATACTAGAGAAGTTTCCACACCTTTCCGCTAGTAGATATTGTCCTATTTTAGGCTTTCCCTTTCGGACTTCCCCTCAAATGCGTCTATTGGGGAGAGGTTTCCACACCCTTATAAAAAATGTTTCGTTCTCCATTCCAACCCATATGAGATCTCACAATAACAAGTTAAACAGGGCACCAAATTTCCACAAGAATCATTCATGCAAATGAATCAAACAGTGCACAATCAAAAACACAACTCCTGTTGAAACTTATCCCAAAACAAAAACCAAATTCATCTCTGAGATAATCCTGAAATAGCTAGTTTACCAATATCATCCCACAATAGAAAAATCAATAAATAGAACTCCAACCATCCCATTTCTTTACACTTCCTCAATTTCCTCTCAAATCCCAGCAAGCATTGGTGCAGTGGTGAAGTTCATCAGTTCAGTAAACACATAAGATCATAAAAATCAAAGCAAAAACAACATCGAACGAAACGAAAACTAGTGGGACGTAATCGATTACAAGAAAAAGTTCATTAGAAAGGAAGGAAGTGCGATCAAGTACCTTAAGAATCAAAGAACTCAGACGATCAAGAGTAATATCGATAGAACAACGAAGAATTGCGCAGGGTTTCGAAGGAAAGAAAAGAACAGAAGGAGCGTAAGTGTCAGAGAAAAACCTGAGCCAAAAGGATCCGCAAGAATCGACAACGGAAATGGGCGTGAAAATAGAGGAAGCCCTTGAATCAACAAACAAATCCGCGCAACCCAATAAAGATTTATAAACTGGATGGAACATCCTTCCTAGAAATCGCCTTTTTCTTCATTCCCGCCATTCTTAATCCATTTCTGATCAAGTTTAATACAATTATATTATCATAAAAAACGCATGAAATTCAAGCGGTTAAATAAGAACCAATTTTAAAAATTCAAATTTAGAGAAAAAATAAAAATACTTGAATTTTTAATCAACTATGTCAATAAACATCAAACTATACTTAATTTAGAATTTGATTACAAAGATCATATTGACTCATTAAATTACCAAATTTGATTTGATCGAACTTCAAACAGCTCAAATTTCCATGCAACCTTCTGATCCTCCAATCAGAGAGCAGGAGATTAAAACTCAAACAAGCAAAAAAAAAAAAAAGTCAGCCAACATTAAAAGAAAAAAAAAAAAAAAAAAAAAGTAAAAATCTCTTCTATTACGATTGGTGACAAATAAGAAAGTTTTGGCAAGTTAGGCAGGCAGCGTCCGATTTAGGGATGTTCATAAAGGCAACAATTTTAAAAGCCCTAAACCTATTTGCCAAATTAAAAAATCATTTGACCTTAATCCCTATTTTAAAAATTAAAATTTGTTTGTTCTATCATAAAATATCGAACAAAATAAATAAAGATTTAAAATATACATACCAAGTTGAATTACGAAATTGTCCCCTAAGCTGTCGTGATAACTTACGTCGTGTTGAAGGGATGTCTATATGATCCGATCATCTATTCTCCTAAGAAAACCTTATTAACTGAATGTATTCAAATGGACAAAAATTAATTTATTATTTTGTCTTTTTAGAAGATATTTTCTATCGGTCAGTCGGTGTATGTGAAAAAAAAGTAATTCGTTCTTTTTTATTAGATCAGAAGTTAGTTTAAAGAACGAGAGTTGGCTTCCTTACATTCGTTGTTCTTCAGTAGCTTAGTGGTAGAGTGGTCGCTTTTTTTAATCTAAGAATCGTCGTACAAACATTAAACTTGTTATTTAATTTTAATTTTATATTTTCATAATGGTAAAGTGAAAAAGAAGAAAGAAAATGAGTTTGGGGGCAAAAGCCTTTACATCAAATAAATAAAATAAAAATAAAAATAAAATAAAAAAACAGGGAGGCGTGGCCATTGGGACCAAATTGTTTGCTTGCGTGCTTCACCACCCCATTAATTAGGTCACTCATGCAACTAACTCAATGTCATTCCATTTACTACACTCATTTTACTTTTTACTACCTTTTCCATCTTAATTTACATTTTTTTTTTTTACCCTAAATATTTTCACATTTTTCGTTCCGTCAAACTTTAGAACTCTGTTCAAGATAGCTTTCACATGTTAGATCTTAGATATTATCGTGATTTTCGTACTTTCTAAGCTCTATGTTGTTTAGAGCTGGCATCACCAACTTGAGCATGTTACGTTTGTGTAACGTTAATGATATTTTACACAATAGGTCAAAATAGAAGCTTGGGTTTAAAAGTATAATTTATAATTTAAGAAGATTTTTTTTAGATCGGTGGTCCTGTATCGGTCGAAAAGATTAAAATGGGGCATTTTGTAGAGAATAGTATGATGTTATTGGCAACTCCACTTGCATTGTATAGAAAGTGAGATGGGTTTGTGGTGTTTTTGGTAGGTGACTAAACAACCACTTTGATCTCACATGCCATCCTTAAGAAGCTTGTGTCATGCTTTTAATCCTCTTATGACTTTCTTATACCAATCCCAGTTTTCAAGGCACATCATTCATTTCTCTTTGATGCCAACATAAAATAATCACCCTCCAAGAACATCACTTGAGATGGGATATGACCCATTTCTGAATTTTAAATTTCATTACACCATAAGAACAAGATCAAAGCCTCAAAATCAATGCTGCAATGAAAAGAATCAATGAAATGAAATGATACCCAGAAAGTATTTGACTATACAATCTCTTGAATGTTCTTGTGTTTTTTTTTTTTTTTTTTTTTTTTTTTTTCTCTGTTTTTATTTGAAGTTGAAAGGGAAAAGAAACAGGGAGTTAGATATGAAATCCCACGTTCACAAGAGCTTCATGTTTGTGTTCATTGGGTGCAACCCACCATGGGTTTAATGATGCGAGGTTGTGGTCCTTGGGTTCTCTTTCAGCAGGTTCAGGAGGAAGATTCAGGTCCAAAAACCCCCTAATTCCAGGGACTTGCTTTGGAATTTCAATGGGTTCTCTGTTTTTGGACGACTCTGATCCATTGATCAAATGCGATCTTTTATGCCCACCAAGTGCTTGACCTGATGCAAACAATTTCTTGCAAATTGGGCACTTGTGTTTGTTGATCTTTTTTGGAATCTGAGAACCCATTTCGTCTTCTTCTTCGCTTCGACCGCCATTGTTGAGGCCTTTCCAAAGCTTGCTTTCGGCTGTTGGGTCTGCAGAAATGGCCACTTCTAGGCTGCTCTCACTGCCCAGTTCTTCTTCTTCTTCTTCTTCTTCTTCTTCTTCTTCTTCCTCCTCTTCCATGGGGGACTCGACGAAACAGCCCTTTATTTTCTTGTGGCTTGCTCTATGCCCACCAAGTGCTTGATATGAGTGAAAGATCTTGTAGCAAATATTACACTCAAATTTGCTTCTCTTTTTGGGTTTCTTGCAGATTTTTGAATCCCAAAACTCTGCTAGTGTCTTCTTTCGAGATTTCAAGAACGTATCAGAGCTGAATCTAGCTTGGTTTTGGTCATTTTTCTTGGGGAAAGTTTTAGATCCGGCTCTTTGATCGGGTTGAGTCTTCTTCATCATTTTTCCTCTGTTGATAAACCCAGAAGAACTGTGCTCTGACTGCTTCACAGAGGAGGTTTTGCTCTCAACAACAGATGGGGCTTCAAGAAACTTTGAATTGTTATCCGAGGACTCAGCTGGGGAATTGAAACCAACCCAATTTCCCACATCCATGGAAAGTAACATCAAGGAAATGGCAACTTCTTGTTCTTGCTCAATTTCTGAAACAGAGGAAGAATTTGTGGCAAAAGAGAGAGAAGTTGAATTAGCAGCAGTGCCCATTTGGGCTGTTCTTCTCCTTGTTGATCTCTTTCTCTTGTTGGGAGCTTCTGTTTCATTATCAGATTGGATGTCCATGACCACCTTCTGTTTGGCATCAGTGATATAAGAATCTGGTTCTTCCAGCTCTTGACTACTGGAAACGAGTGCTCTCTCAGAGTGGCATTTCATGTGGCCAAAAAGACTCTTCCATGATTGAAACCCTTTACCACACTGTCTGCAAAACTTGTCTAGGAGTGACGGTTCTTCACCTAAGAACTTAAGTTTCTGAGTCTTTTTCGGGTTCTTTCTGAGACCATAACCAAGATTTCCACCTTCCAAATCTGTGTCCTCCTCCATGTATGATAAGCTTCCTGCACTGTAATTTGCAAGTTGAAGACTTGTTCTGCTATGTTTCTCATCATTATTATCAGCTAAGTTATTGGTCAAATGAGACCTCATATGACCTCCCAAGGATCTGCCACAAGCAAAGCTCTTGTTGCAGAGCTTGCAAACATGTCTGGCTGCTAAATTAGCTTCCATTTACAAACACTCTACAGTTGAATTAACTTCAAGAGGTAAAAAGAGAACAAAAAGCTAATGAAACTTCAAAATCAATACAAGAACTTGAGAATTGATGCTGCAATTCTTAATCTCATACACTGAAAACAAGATCCAATTCAGAACGAAAACACAAAAACAAACACTACCCAGATCAGAACACCCAGCCAATCTCCTCTAGATCATACAAAACCTTGCTCAAACTGCAACTGATCACTGAACCCACCTCAGAAATGGAAGAATTATGAAGCAAGAACAAGATCTGAGGCATAAAAAGTGGAAAAGAAGAGGACCCAGTAAACATTCTACCACCTCTCTCTCTCTACTAACCTCCCTTTTGGGTTGTTGAAGTGTATACAAGGCAAGAGATATAAAACAAGAACAGAGAGAGAGAGAGAGTGTGTGCGTGTGAGAGAGAGAGAGAGAGAGAGAGAGATACTTTGAAGAATTGGGTGTGTGATCTGTAACCTCTGTTGCTAATAATAGCTACGAAGAAAGCAAATGAAATGAAGAAAGGCTTAGAAGGTGAGCAAGTAAGCAAGCTAATGAGAGTTTCTCTCTCTTTAGAATCTAAGCTTGACTATATTTAGAAGAGAAATCCATGCAAAGAGATGATGAGAAGGTTAAAAGAGAAGAGAGAGAGGCAAAGAAGAGAAGAGAGAGCAGCACGTGTATTTAACTGAGAGTTCTACGCTTCTCCAAATCTGACGGCTGAGATTGTTGAAGCGATCATCCCCATGGGGCCATGATGCTTCTCAAAACCTAACTGCCCTACTCAAAAACTATTCCTTCCTTAAGGAATTTCCCACCTCCACCAGTCTCTGCTCAAATCCCTTCCACTATCATCTGGTCGTTATTCTTTTGTACTTTCTCTCTTCATTTCCTTTCTTTTTCCCCTCTTTTTTCCTTCCAAAATTCCCACCTTGTAAATTGTTTATTGTTTCAACTCCTTCCACTGTCACTTTGGATCTTTGGGTTCCACTGTTCCATGTATTACTTTACCCATTTGGGTTGAACCAGAAGCCATTCTCTGATTCTATTGTTTCCATTTTCAACAACTTAATCAAATGGGATTTGTTTAAGCTAAAAGAATCACTTGGGTAAGTTCCCAGATGTCTTAAACCAACTGATATTTGTATATTGTATTGACTATCCTCTTTAAGAGGGTTTGGTATGCTTAGTTTATTGAGATTTACTGAGAAAAAAAAACTTTCACAGCTTAGTTTGGTCCACTTTTTCCTAATGGCTTCTCTCTTTGGTTTTGTTCACAAGAAAAAGAACATGGTAAAGAAAGTGAAAAGGGAAAAGAAGAAAAAACCAAGAAGAGTGCTGCAGCTTCGGTGCCGGCCTATGTTGGCAATTAAGCACAGAGTTAATGAATGTAAAAGAAAAGGATAAGGCATTGATTGGGACTACTAATCACATGTCGACTATGATTAAGGAGCACCTTCCATTTGGTTGCTCCCTTCTTCAGCACTTCAGTACGAGTTTTAGCTGTGACTTGTCTGTAATTGCCTTCCATTTTCTGCTTTGTTTTTTCCTACAAAATGTGTCAGACACAGCCTATTCTTTTTATAGTTCATCACAATTCATAATATATAAATAAGTGA